ACTGAGAGACAAAATAACATGGAACTCAAACAATACATGAAACCACAAATCCTTAAGCACGGATAAACAGAAACAAGAAACGAATAATAATCATCATTATTACTACAAGAGAATAAGAAAACAATCCATGAAGCAGAATTAAACCAAAATATAATAAACTCAAAATACTGGGACCATACTGGGTCCCAGAACCGTGACAATAAATGAAACGAACAAAGTTTAAAAAAAAAGATGAAACGTGGGATTATAGCTTAATGAAATAAACACATTTTAAAGCTATATTGTGAAATAGAAACGTAATATGAATTACTGCATGACAAAATGAAATACTTCTAATGATCTACTTTTATTGTTAACTACAAATTAATGAATAAATTCATTGGTAGAACAATTATTTTTAAAGAAGTGGTCAAATAAGTTTCTTTGATAATAACACGCTGAGTAGAAACAATCATACATAAGTATTTTATTTATTTATTTATTTAACATTGAGCACTTTGGGGTATTCGTATACACATAGTTTGCCGTTGTACTGCATGAGAATCGTGTTTTCATCTGCTGCGATGTCTTAACTGAATAATTTCCACAGAATATTCATACCTGTCTGTGCTCGATCACTCAAAGCCACACGTGCATCGATCTGTCTCAGCAGGAAGGTGAAGGGTCAGCACCTGAAGTGAACCCTTTGGCCTTACTCCCTGTCCTGGCCGAATTCATCCACCTCAAAGACCCCAACATGCTCACACTGGAGGTGTCTGGACTTGCAGCCAAATATCCTGACATCAGGTAATCAGCACCTCCTCCGCCCTAACTGCTGCTCATTCTGTAAGCTTGATGTGTAAAACAAATACTGCCAGTGTCGTTCAGAAGAAAGTTGTACTGTAGACGTCATACGTCAGCTTTCGGAAACAAGCTTTAATAAAGCTGCCACAGCCCTGATTGTCTTTGGTTGTTCAGTGAGTGAAGAAACAACAAACAACAGAACAAATTCTTCCAAAGTGAGCAGACAAAACGGGACGTTTCAAGAAGTCTTTGGGTTGTTTCTGAGGTTTAATTCATCTCATAATCAGTCAGAGCGTTTCAAAGGAGAAAAGCCTTTTTTATGATGGCACGCACCACAGGAGTAGGAAAATAACTTACCTGAACAAAGCTGCAAAAACGAAAAACCCAAACTGAACATAGACATAACACAAACTCACTGCCCGCTGACCAATCAGGTCTCTAGAAATTAGCATCACCGTTGATGGAAGATCTCTCAGACCTCTGTGAGATGACAGCAGGAGGGTTTAAAGTTCTTTAAGCACATCTAAAGTCTTTAATCTTTTTTTATTGTTTCTTACCCTGCTTACAACAGTATTATTTACACCCGAGTATATGATCCCAAAACAGGCAACCGCTTTGCACACAGGTTTGCACACGGACAAAGCCTGA